CCGCCTTTATATTTCTAACCATACTTTACTATTGTACCATACTATGTAGAAATAAAGGCCATGTAGTTGATGCAATACGAATACGATATCCCCATAACCTGGCTGTGACCTCGCCATGACCCAGCAGCCTATGGGAGGTCAGAGCCGAGAAGGCTCCTGTGGGCGGGGCACTGCCTCCACACCAAGGAGAAAACCTCCTGGCAACAAACAGAGAAAGTGACATAGAGCCAACAATGTCAGTGGGGGACTGATGTCTCATTAATCCTGATAAATACTGCGGTGGGACTGCCCATGCTATTATCATGAGTCATGGCAGCAACACAGTGTAGGTCACACTTGAATAAGAAAATAACACAACTTGTGGTTAAAGGAATCCCTTGAAGCGGGTAAACTGTACATTTTGGTCTTTTATAATCCTAACACATAACAGCTATCTATTGTATTACCTCAAGTGGAAATATCGAAAGCAACTATTGATACATAGTAACATGCATAGTAAATCATGTGTTGCCGTGTCAAAGATGACTATTTAGCATATCTGAATATTGTGCAATTTGTCTTTAAAAAAGTAATATTTTTGACCATCTGTGTCACGGTGTGGATTTTGTTATTTTGGACTTCAGTTTTATTTTGATATCTGTTCTCTGTGCTTTGGATTTAGTTTTTGAATTTGACGTCCTGTTTCCCCCTGGCACGGTGGCTGAGTGGATAGCACTCTCGCCTCTCAGCAAGAAGGTCCTGGGTTCGAATCCCGGTTGGACCAGGGCCTTTCTGAGTGGAGTTTGCATGTTCTTCCCGTGTCTGCGTAGGTTTCCTCCGGGTGCTCCGGTTTCCCCTACCACTAAAAATATGTACAATAGGTATGGCATGTACCTCCTGTACTGGCACACCCACCCAACAATTGTAAACCGCTTTGAGACTCTGATGTGCAGTGAAAAGGCGGTATATAAATAAAAGCTTACTTACTTACTTACTTACTTACCCCCTGTCTTGATTGTCTGCCCCGCCCTAATGTGTTTCACCTGTGTCTGTGTCTATATGTACCCTGTGCTCCTCTCCTCTTGTTGCTGGTCCATTGTGTTGTCATTGTTCTTGTCTTTGCTCCTGGTCTCGTTTTTGGATTTTTGGATGTTTTGTTACCTTGGACTTTTGTTTTTTCATAATTAAAACATTTATATATTTTCATTCCTGCGTTTGAGTCCTCCATCAGCTCACCACATGACAATCTGGCCACATATATTTTAGTCATGTCATGATAGTCATTCTCTATTAGCTGTTGTGTTCCAGACGGATGAGAAACAATGAGATACCAGTGCTTTAAGTGGCCCGGTTTTCTTTTTATTGCTCAGGGGAACGTTTGCAGGTTTTTAATGCAACGGAATTCACTTGTTTCTCTGAAGGCGTTCTATTTACAACTATCAACAGACAACCCATAGTATATCCATTACAGGCTTTTATACTGGGACAATCTCATTAAGTATTAAAATCTCTGTTTAAACTGCAATCAGTCATTTCCTCCACTCAGTCAGTTTGTCCACATAAGGAACACCGCTCTGTCTCAGAGGGTAACCAGAGGGGCAGCACGAGGGGACTGCCTGGTTCCTCTGAGATGGAGCGCCTTCAGAGTACCTTCTCTGTAACCGCTGCCGGAGACTGGAACTACATCCCAGCAAACATCAGAGAATTCACACCATACTCACTATTCAATTACAAAAACTGGTTAAAAACACAGCAGACATGTAACCATTAGTCTAGGCAATTTACTCATTGCTTTGTAAATTTCTTTTGTATGTGAACTGTGTTTTTATTGTATGATATATGTGTTCTTGTTCTCCCCGACTGTCACGGCACAAGTGCTGCTTTCATTTGCCTACTGAGTATTGGTTATGATCTGCAGCAATCCAAAGAGCAGTTTTACTGATGACATCTGACATGCCCCTATATATCTAATCTGGAGTTTTTATTCTATGCTCTCAATTCATACAATTATTTCTATCTGCATGGATATTTTGATATGTCTCCAACATGGTTTATAGAGCTAACAGTATAACTGTACAAGAACAATCTCCCTGTTATGTAAGTACACCTCTCATTGCCAATTTCTACTAATGCCTGTGATGGGAGGAGATATAATATGTGTCAGCATATATTAGGAATCACACTTGCAGAAATAAACCAACTTTTGTGAAAACTAGGGGCAGTTATTTTTTCACTTCACCTCCTTATTAGAAGCAGAAGAGGGAGTGGACTACTGCCGATTCTTTTGGACTTGATCTGGATCTCATTACGCACCAGGAATCCCCAGCATGAGATTGTTAGAGGCACTGGGTCCAGCAGCCAACAGCTCAGTGTGAAGGGACACGCTGGCATAGCACTCCCTCACACATACAAAGAGACACAAATACAGTATATATTTTAAAATTATGGACCTTGATACTTTTGTAATTAAATCTACATTTTATTTCACAATGTTGTGTTAATATACTGTTTTCATCCCTTTGATTTTTATCACGATAAGGCATCAACAACAACAACAACAATAAATAAATAAATAAATAAATAAATGAAGAATAAACATTTTGTTTTCACACTTCCACTTAGATGAGCTTTCAATCCTAGAGAAAAGGCACATCTTTTACACCCCAGCCAGGCGAGCGCACTGTGAAAGCAGTCCATCTCAAAGCAATCCCTGTACACCAAAAAGTCTACATGAAAGGCTTGGAATGTTATGAAAAAGCCCAGGGATCACATTCAGTACATTTGTATGAAAAAGGTACTACAGAGCTTCTCATCTGAAACCGAATATACACTGACTCCAGGCTAGCTCACAATCTAAGCACCCTGTTGGGTCAGTTCCTTTCTCTATATCTGGACATATAAAACAAACGAGGATTCGTTATGTCACCATGTTGAACAGTAATTCTTAGAACAATAACAATAGTTATAATTTTATCATTAGTGAGGCCACACTGCCCACTTCATTAAGTGCTCTTGGGGAACCCAACACTTGGAAGAGTGAGTTCAGACCGTAGCACTCTCAATAATAGTCTATAACTCGGACCAATTATTATACTAGTTGTTTAGATCTTGAAAAAATCTTATACATTTGACCTAAGTAAAGCTCAAGAGATGCCTCTGGAGATTATCAGCATGATTCTATCTATCTATGGAAGTTTCTGAAAACAATTAATTGATAGCTAAATTAGTTTTATAACTATTTCAGTAATCACGTAGTTGTGATTAATTGATTAACTTGTTACAGCGATAAACACAACAAAACAATTTACAACAACATAATGTTGTCTCTAATTCAACCCGTCAGCAACTGTGAAGAAATGCCAATGTATGTCATTGTGAATTGATATAATCAGCGCATAAGAGCAAAAAGCCCAAGAATATTTCATGATACCATTATCAAATACTCAACAAAGACACCAGGGACGAATAAATCTAGGAAACTCGTCTGCACTTCAAGCTTACAAACAGATGAATAAGAAAGCAGAGCAGAGGGGTCACACATCACTCCTGTCAGAAACATAAGAATCACGCTGTACTTCTGGAGCAGAATGAAGGAGCTATGCACTTACATCAGGCCAAGTGTCCAAACTCAGAACAAACATACTCCCAGGAATTCTAACCATTTCTAATTAAAGCCTTTCCAAGAATTATAAGACCTTAGCGTAGAGAAGGCTGTGTTTTAACTTATGTTTAATCTTTGTTTTGCTTTAGTCCTCTCCGCGTGTGACCGAAGCGTAAATATTCTGTCCCTCAAACAACAACAAAAACAGACTATTGTGCAAGTGAGAGTCTCCCGTTTGCAAACATCAAAGCAGGACGCGGAAAAAACATCTGGGAGCCACAAGAGATCATGCCGAAACCTTAAGAAGAGCAGCAATCCTGCATACCAGCAGATATGTAGACAGGTTGAAAAAATGACACTGAAATTATGATGGATGGAGAAGACGGAGTGAGATGACGTCTGTGCCTGATTTTAGCCTGCATGGAAAACTATGGATCTAAGATACAAGAGGTAGAAAAAGCACATCTATGAATGTATAAATGCATCTACAGTCACAAATCAAATAAATTCTTATAAAGCTGGGTATATGTTATATGTTTATATGTTATAAAGCTAAATAACATAATTTTTCCCAACAGAAAGAGTATGTTTGTACGGTAAGAATTTATTTCAAACGTTATGGGAAAGAAACATATGATAATAAACAAACAACATACCTACTTGACACAACTGTAAAACACAACAAAACACAGGCCCACACACCTCCCAAAGTGGCTTTGGAGCTCACACGGACACTGTGGGGGCCTCTATGTACCCCACAACAACTTATGTATAATATGTTTGAGAATATGTTATTGTGGACTGTAGTGTGAAATGTATCTATCAATTTTATGGTTAATGATTTCATATGGTGTGAATGAGAACTGTTTTGTTTATAAGATCTATGTGTTAGGTGTGGGAGTAATGTACAGGTGTTAACCATGGACTGCAGATGGAAATTAGCTGTGTAACTATAATTTAGTGCAGAACATATCTGTCTTTGAGCTTAATGTTGCAGTGCAATGTCAATTTAAAATAAAAACTAGTAAAATTAGCATTTTAGTATTAATATGATAGGCTGTTTTTGTCTTATAAAAAAGAAGGGTTGAGAGGCCAAAGATACATGCATATGAACACTTTTTAGATCAATAGACTAGTTACGTAGATGGAGTTTATGACATTGTCCCAATTTTTAAGGTTGGAAGTACACCAGCTTTAATAGGAAATGTAGTTTGATTAGTGAAATGCAGAGAATGACTATGGTTAAAGTTTATGAATGGGATGACAACACGCATTGTGCTTTTATATACCAATCAACACAAACAATAAAAGGTACATTCCTCCTCCTGCATGGATGACGCAAACCAGCAGCCAAGATTCAGGATCATTTCATTGTGTGTTATGGAACATCAATCTTGCAGCTTTAGTCAGAAGGGCTTACCTGGTTTAGCTGGACACTTTTGGCACTTGTTGAGACCCCAGGAGGCTCCCACACTTCCACAGCAATCATCCTGTTTTGTAAGGCCTGGCAGGGGCTTACTGCACTATAACAACAGCACAAGCATGAGGCTATAAAGTCACTTTATAAACACATTGCTGTCAAATAGGGCTAATTAGGGTTAAACCAATGCAAATGTGTACAGACAAACACAGCTTCAGCACGGATGGCACCTAGAGGAGTAAGTCAGAGGCCAGGGGTTCTCAACTTTTCCAACTTGCAACCCCCACTGCAGAATACAATCTTAAAGAAGTATTGACGTTTTCAAAAATATATCAGTGACTAAATTGTAGTGTTTTTGCTAGTTATATATTGTGTTATTTGACCTAATTCCACTTAATCTATTATATTTTGTATCAAATAATTGGAAAAAGAATTAGGTGATTGGTTAAGAATATTGCAGGTCATTTCTGGTTTAAAGCGCAATGCAACAGAAGAACAGCACTTGGATGTTTAAATCCTATTGTAATACAATCGCTACTCGACCCATTTTTCTTTGGATTGGATCTGCTCCTCAACCTGGAAAAAACAGAAGTAATCTACTTGATCCTAAACGTCTAGGTGACAGATAATTACACTGGAGAGTGGCTCTTACCAAAACTTTAAGGAATCTTGGGTACAATTCTCCTTCAGAGCACATTAAAAATAAGCAACTAAAACCACTTTTTTTCCATTTACCCAACACAGCCAAAAAGAAGAATACTTTCCCTAAAAGTGATGCAAAAAACGGATCCACACATTTATAATATCAATACTGACTACCATAACGCCCTATTGGTAGCATGCCCTAAATTCTTAACTCAACAACTATGTAAAGTCCTCCGAGATGACTGCTGTTGAGATTTAGGGCTGTACACAAATGAATAAAATTGACTTGAACTTTAAAGGTTGATTTTAAAGGCCCTTTTTTCTGGTTGAAACAACTTACAGAAATTCTATACCTGTCCATCCACTGTCTCCTGGAAGCACCTCCCGACTCCGCTGGGACTAGGCCGAGGCTGTGGTTGGTGGGTGGTGTGGTCATGGCTGTGATGGTGCCTATCTATGTGATCAATGGAGGAGTCGTGTGCCTTGCCAGGTTGTGAGCGCTGCTGCACTGAGTGAGCCCCTTCTGCAATGGGGGGCCTATGCCCAGGCTGGACACGGGCCACCTGGTGCACCTGCACTTCAGCCTCAGGAGGGTGCTGGATGTGGACATTCACTATGGAAGGATGGAGAGATGCTGGAGAGAAAAGAGGAACGTCGATGAACCTTTTAGAAAGCTTGGAGGAGAGATGACCAAAATAAACTTTTATGAGGTACAGCAGGACTGGTACCACCCTGCTGATCATATGTCCACCTGCCTTCAGATAGGTAGGCACTCCCCTCCCCATGATTGTTTTAAGAATGACAAATGCAAATGTTAAATCTTTTGAGTACTTTGAATGAATAGGGTAAGGATGGACAACAACTAAAAACATTTAAAAAAAGCATAAGACATGACTGACTGATTTTTTTTTTCCTTGATTTTTAATATCTTACCAGAATAGAAAACATAATTTGTTTGTTTCTAAATAAACGGTGGAGTTAAAGAGGCTAATTCAAAGAACAAGAGCTTTAATGGTTGTTGGAGACCCATCAAGGAGAATGAAGGATTGTTTACTCTCCTCAATATGATCTGCTGATCTTCCATCCAGGCCAACATACAGCTAAACTTGATTTTCCTTTAGGATCAAACAAGTGTCGGGCTACTAATGATCAATTAGTTGTACTTGGAAAACCACGGAGCATTCATCAATAAAAACAATCACTACTAGCTACCAGCAAGTACAAGTTCTGTCTTTAAACAGGTATGCCTTGCTATCCTAGAACTAACTAAGGATAATTATCTGGCAGATGGAATAGATACAGACCACAGATGTAAGGGACAAAAGAACAGAGGCTTCCAATCCACATCTGATTTGTTGTTATACTGTAAACAGTCGAACAAGATGTTCCTCTTAATGATACTAAAAATAAGGTGGGTCTGGTGTTTTAAATCAAATAATGAAGAACAATAGAAACACATTTTCACACAGAGCAGCTGAGAAGTTGCAATGCAGAGAATTACTGTATGTCTGAAGGAAGGTAAGCATCGATCGGGAAGGAAAGGCGAGGCCTTTTCCAAGAAGTGTGACCAAATAAATCATAGCCATTTTTCTAGACATGGTTGAACCATGTAAATTTCTCCTTTGTGAGATAAATAAAGCATAAACCATATCTTAACCCAGGAAGTAAAGCTAAGATGTAAGCATAAACGAGAAAAGCTAATGTAGCATATCTTTTGAAAATGTTTAAATAATCTACAAATATTTAGCTCAAAAGTAGTTATGAATAACAATTGAAGTAATGTTTCCAAAGAATTCTTATGTCTCCACTTAGTGTCAGACCAAGCAAGAGGCTTTGTGTCAAGGAAATAAAAACGACAACAAGATAGATGAAAAGGGGGAAGCATAATGTGTCGAATGTGTCTTCATGATCTTGAGGTGCTCTGTTTTTATACAGACTTCGAAAGACTATTAGACTATCAGAGGAGCATCAGGAAGACAAAGGCATATATATTTTTCATTCATTCTTGGCTCAGCTATATTAAAATGAATGGTTACCTTGTTGGTTGGAGAGGGGAAGAGTGTACATGGAGGATGAGGGCCCATGCTGGCTGCCGTTCTTTGTGTTGGGGAGGCTGGGTCGAGGAGGAGGGAGGTGGCAGAACTTTCCTGTTGAATTTGACGGACACCAGCAGTGATCTCTACCAATACAGCGGCCACCGTTTTGACAAGGGATCTGACAGAAGACTACATAGAATAACAACAAAACAGTGATAAGAGACGATTAATATGGATGGGACAAGATAATAATGATACACAAAAAAGCTTGGAAAATAATGATGTGACAGTTGGCTAAGATATTAGAGGTTTGTGAGTTTGATCCTGTGTCAGCCTGGGCCTTTCTCTGTTTGCATGTGTATAAATACTACAGACAGAGAACCTAGAACTAGTGGTATTGAAGGATGGGTCAAATGAAGAGGATACATTCCAACGTAGTGTAGATGCAAATGGCTAAAAAACTCTAAATCAATATTACTAAGAATGACCAATCTCCGTGTTCCTGCCCAAAACTACAGAAAGTACAGTATTAAAAGAAATATGCCTTTATTTTCTAATGAGTTATTAGAAATGCATATTGCTACATACAAGTTAAATCCTTAATTTAATTGAAAACTTGAGCTCATTGATTCAGCTTGGGTATGAATTCAGGCCATAAAAAGTGCTCACTAGAAATGTTGCGTGACACTGGTTCCCCTCCACTCACAGAACGAGGAGCGGTGCTGTTGCATACAGGCTGCCCCCTCTAGCGTCTGCAGCGCAGGTAAACACAGCAGCATGGTAGCTAGAAGTGGCTATAACTCCTCAGGCTGTAACTGCATACACAGCAACACCTGAGACCTGCGGGAGCGGGACTGCCTCGGACTACATTTGGACGCAAAACTAGCGGTAATCTTTCAATTATTGTACTGTATATTTTGTTGTCGGTGCAATACTTTTGTACCATTTCATTCGTGATTATTGTACAGCTTACAATAAGTTGTTCTAATGCTAACGTTTGCATTTGTATCAGATCGCTACTAAAACTAGATGGCTCCGTGGGAGGAGACGTAAGGGAGAGTAGGAGGTTTTCTCCAAATGAGAAGCCTGTGAGCGAGTTGGGGGGCGGTGCTAAACATTCAAACTGAAAAAACCTTGCAGAAACAGGTATAGCTCCGTTAATTTGATTATTTATATTTACTAGATGCAATTATTGTTGTTGGTTTCAAATTGTACAGTTTGGGAATGTGGAGGGGTCTATACTTTATAGTACAAGGCCAGATGGTCATAAATATGCACTCTTTTGACTCTTTAATGATCTGGTCAGATCTAAGAACCACTGCAGGGCATGGCCTGGTCAGTCTTGTGTTGGGAGACCTCTGTGAACACCAGGTTCCCCACTGGGGTGGTGCTGAACTGTTTTTTGAGTCATTAGGCAAGACACTTGGTCAGAGGGAGCTGATGGCTCAGATTAGCACCCTAACCTCTGTCACTCAACCCCAGGGCAGATTTGGCTACCATGCCATGTGAAGGACATTTAAATGTCTAAAAAGGTATTATATAAAACCAATTTCAAATATTTCAAATGTCATTCTAATTAAGTACTGCTACAGACCAAGTGGTGTCAAAAACAAATGTGCCGAAGTTTTTTGAAGCACCTTAAAAACAAGTACCGTCAAAAATGATTTACAGTTAGCAGAGAAGGCCCATGGAAAGAGGATTAAAGGCTAGCAGATGGTAGTTTGGGTGCCAGCTTTGCACCCCACACATCTGGAACTGCTCTTATCTATAGATACATATATACATATACATATACATATATATATATATATATATATATATATATATATATATATATATATATATATATATATATATATATATATATATATATATATTTATATTAGGGCTGTCAAACGATTAATTGCACAGAAATGGTGAGTTAACTCACGATTAATCGCAGTTTTAACATTCTATTTCAAATCCACTCCAATTGAAGTTAAATGAGATTATCAAATGTAATGACACATTGTCACTCATACCAAATGTACTTAAATCTGTTAGATTTGCTCACAACCTTTTGCTTTTGGGCACAAACAAAATGAGCTGTTAATGAAAGGGGGAAATGTACATACCCCAGCTTTAAATCAGCGAGTTTAGTTTAGTTTAGTTTAAGGAGGAGACAGGGACACTTTTGCTGTGTATTTGCGTGCACAGATTACTGACTGATTGTAAAGACATGAACACAACATGCAGACAATAGTTCTGTGGCGTGTATGGTCTTATATGACCATGTTACCGCAGCGGCATTCACTCACAGCCGAGTTGTTGTTAGCGGCTCACAACCAGTGCGGCCGCGGAGGAGGCGGACTTCAGTTCACAGCAAACAACGCGGGGCGGTCACACGCGGGGCGGTCACACGCGGGGCGGTCACACGCGGGGCGGTCACACGCGTATTCTTTAACAACATGAATTTCCAGAGGGCCTACCTGCTCTGATGCCATCTCACACGCCGCATTCTGAGACATATTATGGATAAATGGGCGGGTCATTCGGACATGCGTTAATTTTTTTCTAACGCGTTAATTAAAAAATGTATTAACGTGAGTTAACACAATCATTTTGACAGCCCTAATATATATATATATGTATGTACAGTATATATATATATATATATATATATATTAGGGCTGTCAAAATTATCGTGTTAACTCACGTTAATTACATTTTTCATTAACGTGTTAAAAAAATGTTTACGCATGTTCAAATGACCTGCCCATTTATCCATAATATCACTCAAAATGCTGCATGTGAAATGGCATCGGAGCAGGTAGGCCCTCTGGAAATTCAAGTTTTAAAAGAATACGCGCGTGATCGCGGGGCTGTTGTTTGCTATGAACTGAAGTTCGCCTCCTCCACGGCCGTGGTTGCGAGCCGCTAACAACAACACGGCTGTGAGCGAATGGCGCCGCGGTAACATGGTCATATAAGACCATACACGCCACAAAACTATTGTCTGCATGTTGTGTTCGTTTCTTTGCAACCTGTGCGTAACCTGTGCACGCAAATACACTGCGAAAGTGTCCGTGTCACCTCCTGAAACTAAACTAAACTCGCTGAATTAAAGTTGGGGTACTTAAATTTCCCCCTTTCATTAACAGCTCATTTTGGTTGTGCCCAAAAGCAAAAGGTGAGCAAATCTAACAGATTTAAGTACATTAAGTATGAATGACAATGTGTCATTATATTTGATAATCTCATTTAACTTCAATAGGAGTGAATTTGAAATAGAATGTTAAAAATGCGATTAATCATGAGTTAACTCACCATTTCTGTGCGATGAATCAACAACAAAATGTATATCGTTTGACAGCCCTAATATATATATATATATATATATATATATATATATATATATATATACACACCGACTTCAAAGAGTCCTCACATAAAGATAACACGTGGCAAGAATTTCCGAATGTATGTTGGAAAAAAACATTAATAATTGAACTGCACTGCAAAACAGAATGACTGACTCTGCTTGGCACGTGGGAGCCGTCTGCCCGTCGTGAAGCATTAAAAATACACAGGCTAGCAAGATGGGAGAGGTACAATCAGCCGAGGAATTGTTATGGAATGGACCAAGAACACATTGAAAGCAAAGGAGATAAAAGACCATAATGGGATGTGGTCAGAGCCAGTTCAAGATTTGCTCTTGATTAGACATGCTGCCATATTTATCTGCTATTAAGTACATTTCCCTCAATGTGGGTCGCAGATCTTCCACATTTGGCCAGGCCCGTCCCACCACAGCACGGGATGGAAACTATTTTTAGTCTTCCACTGTCTGCCTGTCTGTCTATCTGTTAAACAAGCACACTTCTCACTCCATAAAGAACCTCCTCTGATTCCCAACGCCAGGCTTTTAGGTTACTCACAGCACAGGGGGCGTCATCCAGGGAGCTTGTTATAATTACCCAGGCCAGATTTTACTGCACTGTGTACGGGAACATTACGACTGCATGAGATAACTGTTTGTTACTCTGTCCACTTGACATTCCACGTCAAGCACGCAGCCCTCTGAGCAATAACAATGCAAATGGAAAGAAATTGTGTTTTAATGCTACCACATAGTGAAAACAGATTTAGCAGGAATAAAATACCACAAAAACAAGCTGTGAATAGAGGTGTTGGGAGAGTAATTAGGTGGAGGATCTCTACTTGAAGTAAAACGGTCCTGCACACTCAACAGGGATTGACATGCATGTAAATCAACAGGTTTACATAATGTGCAGCTTAACAAACATTCTGGCATGTTTAGTCTCTGCTTGTTAGTGTATGGCATAGAGCCTTCACCTCAGCAGTAATTAGCCTGACCCAACGCTTCAGACTGATGAGAAAGTGGGAAACAAGCAGGGGTTCTGGCTCTGGCCGTTTCTGCCCTCCCCATGGACACTCTTTTGTGAATTTGAGGCAAAGCCCCCTGGATAAATGGCAGGTTTAATATAATCCCTGTGAAATCCTCTCCATGCTGCTACTCTTTCTCTTGTTGATGCTCTGCCTGTGTGTTCACTGGCGGCCGCTCTCCCAACAGCATGTTCCATAGTTCAGGCAGCCACAAAGAGCTGTGCTAATGTGGGGAGCGTGGGACCATCAGCTCGACGTGTGTGAGAGAGATTAGCCCCGTTTTACAGGGCACTTCTTTACGCTGCTCCAACAGTTCCCTGATTTCTATGGTCTCTCTCTTTTCTTTTAACTCTCAATTTTCAGTATTCACAGTGGACACACACTGCTACTGGGAACAAGCTTTGTCAAAAATCACTCACATAAAGAGATAGGAGAAAGCATATGAACAAGAAGAGACAAAAGTGTGTGAGAATCTGCTTCTCAGTGATAGAATGGAAAGATGGATGGCCTTGACAGAGGCCTATACGTGCACCACTTACAGAGTCTGAAGCCCTGGTTCTTGGGCTGCTGCGCTTGCTGTTGTGGAGTCTCACTGTAAACAGTGGTTGTGTCTCCCTTCTCACAGCTGTTGTAGCAGCGTCCACTGCTGCAGACCCGCCGGCAGAGCATGGGAGTAAAGATGATTTTAATGCGGTCCAGGTTGGAAGTGAGGTTGGCCCCTGGGAAACAAACACACACCTGGGTGAAGAGGAGCAGCAGCAGAGATGAGCCAGAAGCGACCTGCATCCTTCCTCCTTCACGAGCAATGACAAACTCCTGGTGGAGGCGCAGGGAGGTTTATAAGAGTGCGAGGGTGTGTGCTGACGGCCGGCCAGTGGCATGCTCATACTGGAACAAGCCCTGTACCACAGGCCAGCACAGTGAGAGGATACTGATAGGTATCCGGCTGGACTCCAGGCACTTTATCTGGGGCAGAAGGTGTTCACAGACAAAGAGTAGAGAGTGCAAATGAACATTGTGTGATGGTGGGAAGCTGTTCAACAGTGGTTGCCTGGTAAAGAGCTCAAACAGACAAAAAACTAGAAGCACACAGCTGTTTGCGTTGGACAGCACATCAGAAGAGGCAGGCAAAGCCGGAATAAAGACACAACATGATCAAATTTGATCTTTTATTCTGGTTGAAGCACCACTAGCCTTAGTGGTACAGATTTTTAATGCACGTTTGAGTGAGCACTTTACAGAGCCACACATGTTGAACACATACTGTAGCTACACATCAAATGCCTGTGTATTATCTAGCCAAGAAGCAAAGGGGAGGGTGGACAGTGCAGGAGGAAGTGCAAACTGGGTCACTCCCTTCTCTTTCATCGGTGTGGCTCATGTTCCACATATACAACACATGAGGTTCAATAAAAAAAAAGTGTACTGTACCCCACAATCAAAAAACAAAGAAGGGCGTCACAGAAATTTCCATTCATCAACAGGAGAAGAGTCAAAGACATAAATCCAACTACACCTTTGATCCATAAGATAATATCTATTGACTCCATAAATGGTATCATCCAATAAATAGATCATCCCAACCCTTAGACCAAGGGTCGGCTCTGGAGCCGCAGGCGGCGCTTTAGTGCTCAAGTGGATCCTGGAGCCTCTTCAAAAAAATTTGAAATTGGTGGGGAGGAGTGTAATTCATTTCTAATCTAAATGTTGTTTCTGTAGGAGGAAAAACGTTCTTAACTGTTCAATGCTGTTTCAATTTAAAAATGTCTCTCAATTTAGATTTGCGTCATAGCCTGCGACGTACACCGTGCCAGGTGACTGCTGTTGGAAACACCGGGCTGTGCAACATTGGTTTGCATGGATCCTAAAGCTAGTCGATAAGAACCGTGAATTCAAGGAAGAATGGACTGAAACATTTGCTTTCATTGCCAATGAGGAGGGACTACTTCATGTTTGCTTTCTAATGTAAAGTTGTCAAAAAACAAGAGTCATTTGGAAATATATTTAACAAGGAATGTCAAAATTTGCTGCTTACTGCCCAGTTTGGAGTGAGAAAAAGTGCGATCGTAGTTCTTCTGGAGGGGATTAATCTCCAAACTTCTACTGCTGAAGTTTTGTCGCAACACGAGGAACAATTAAGCGTGAAGCACCGTTCACTGATGGTGATTGCATGAAGGATTCATTCATCAAAATATTGGAGCAGCTATTTTCAGACTTCAAAACCAAGATAATCCAGAAAAATAGAGACGTGCCGAGTCAAAGAAAGGACCATAAAGGACATTAATTCAGCTTCATCAAACTCCAGCCTGTGACGTGATCAATATTGACCAGACAGTGCTGTAATGCAGGTATGTGGACTCTGAGCCAAAAAACAGATTTATTTACTGCGGACAGGCCAGGAACGCATTCCTGCATCAGTACCTCGAGCTTTGACAACAGCTCAGCAAACGCACACCGTAACGTGGAACCGAGCGCGGACCATAGACGCGTGGACAGAAACTTGCTTGTTGCATGTGCAGGTGTCCGCCGAGCGTCCCCCGTGTCTCTCCCGTGTGTCTCCTCCCGAAGTGCAACCACAACTACAACAATACATGTTGGTTGTGCACAAAAGTAAAATGTTGTGAACAAATCAAACAGAACAGGCTATTCTATTTTTTTAATTTTGCATACTTAAAGAAGTTTTCTGCAAGGTTTTTTTAAGTTTAAATGTTTAGCACCACCCACCAACTCGCTCACAGGCTTCAAATTTGGAGAAACCCTCCAACTCTCCCCTACGCTCTCCTCCCATGGAGCCATCTAGTTTTATTTGCGATCTGATACTTATGTAAACATTAGCGCAACTTCTTGTAAGCTGTACAACAATCCCAGATGAAATTGTTCAAAAGCAACACTGCTAACAAAATATATAACTGAAAGATTGCCACGAGTTTCCTGTCCAAATGTAGTCGAGGCGGTCCCACTCAAGCAGGTCTCTACAGAGGATACGATTTAAGCTAATGCTACGTATATTCACCCGCTTGATTTCTTCTTTGATTATGTTTTCGCTTTAGTTCCCTCTTCTCCTCCTCACTTTTGCGTTGTTTGGGTGTAACTGCATACAGAGCAAAACAGCCCAGAGAATGTATAGCCACTTTTAGCTACCATGCTGCTGTGTTTACCTGCGTAAAGCTGCCATTGTTGATGTTTTAGTTCAAATGCACACATCAAAAACGTATTATAAGCTTTAGTGCTTACTGCGAGCGCAGTGGATTTAGGGCTTAAAAAGCGTATGTTGTGGACAGTTTTTAAACAAAAATCCATGTGAAAAAAATTACTTCTCACTGTTCTCAGGACAAATATTTATATGCAATTAAATTGTGATTAATTGCGATTAATTAATCGCAAATCCTCTAATCAATTAGATTATTTTTTTTAATTGAGTCCCAGCCCTAGAAAATACACATATTCAAACATCATTAAAGATGTATCCTTACCAGCTGGTAACACTGCATTGTTGTGTTGTCCATGCTTCGGGCCATTAGTAGGAGGCCTGTATACTCGACCATGACTATTCCAGTTGATGGAGTAACCATTGGTGTTGGGGAGTGCATTGGAAGTAATAGGCCCAGAGGATGATGGGTAACGCTTTACTGTGCGGGATGTCCCAGTTTGCTGCGGGGATGACTCGGGGGGTCCTCTTCTTACCTGAGTCCTGTCAATAAAAAATCAACATGGGGAGATAAAGACAGATTGTAAGTGACTACATATTGCCAAGGTGTAGTCATCATTATTTCTAGTGCAATAGTGTGAAATTATTTGTAACACTGAAATTCAACCGCACTTGATTAGGTCATGGAATTCCTTCAATCATTGTGGAGAGACTTCTTTTTCTTTCAAAAATCTAATTATGAGTTGTCCCGAAATGGATTGGGAAGTCTGGGCATCTCCGCTCAGACTGTTGCCTCAGCGACCTGGACCGGAGAATGAGGGGGAAATATGCATTCATGGATGGATGAATTCTAAACGGTTTTCATGTGGAGAGTGTGAGCAGGAACTCTCTAATTAAACACATTCAACACCTTTCTGTCACTCATTATATCTGCATTGCTGCACTGGGAACTGGCTGTTCTATGGGTCTGTGGTCAAAGCAGGGATGGAAGTGTTCCAAACGTCTGGAAGAAGATTTAAAACTAGGGGGGGACTATGTGAGGGCACCTGGTGGGCATTTGGTTTGGGTCAATAACCGCAGCTGACCCACCTGGATCCTGCGTTCATGTGAGTGACCTGAGCAAGCTCGTAGCATGGAGAGCTGATGAGATGAGGAAGGATTTAGATGGGAGGAGATATTGCCCCATGCAAAACATCTGGCTCACTGATCTGGCCCGACAGACAGGCAGCAGAGCAAGACAAAGACAAAGCACACTAGAGAGATGAGAGGAATGGGCTCCTCAAAGCACACCTGTGGCCCTGTAAGGTAAATGAGAGCATCAGCACCCTGAATGGGGATATAAACCAAGAGCTTTGAAGCCACACACAAAGTATTTACAAACGGATTCAGCTGCGCACAATAAAGAAGCCGGTGAAATAAACATGCTACATGAAAATGCACATGTCCCAGCTGTAGCACTGCAGGCCTACGCATGTCGTTTATTGAATGTGGTTTATTCACTGAACCACATTCCTACCGTCGGAACAGGACACTAAATAAGTTTTCAATAATAACCGCTCACGTCATCTGTACAAAAAACAAAAGCTGCACCTCCACCTGACAGCTGTCGGCGCACATGCACCAGCACAAGGGCGGCTCTCCAGTGTGGAAAAGGGAAGTTCGATGTGCTCCTGTCACTCAACATCACTCTAAAAGGTCAAGTGGGAGGGGAATTGGTCAACGTAGCTACATTGTCCAGTCTCTATTGGGTGTTTCCGTGTCTTGCTTTGACACCTGGCCCACCAGCATCCTGCATCACATCCTGCACTGTGGCCAGATGTTTTCTTCAGGTCTGGGGTGCACCATGGTTTATAAGTGACTTCCTCACAATATGAGCTCAGTGCCCTCTCTGCCACAGATCAAGGCGAGGAACGCAATGTGCACAGGAACTTCAAGGCCAGCTTTATGCACAGCGGAAGGATTCCCCGCCTGTTCAATATGACCTGGGAGCAATTTGGAAGACCTTTGTCAAGTTTACATGGAGCCCATTTAGACAGATGAGACTTGAGGTATCGAAGAATGGACATCTCGTTTTAATTATACATTGACAATGAAGACAATGCAGTTACCTTCAATGGCCACTAAAAAAGGATTACTAATGGGCCAAATAAGGGTAATACAAGAAATGTATTCCCTAAAAAACTAAATAAAGTAGAAAAATATATATTCAAAATAAAATCAGATCTGTAGCACTTAAAAATATATTTAGAATATTCCCTGCATCTTTGCAAAGCTGTAGCTGATTTCATGCCTTCTTGACAGTGAGTCCAGGATAATATATGATTGTTCACCTTTATTTGATTTAAATGAAAAAGTGCCTGTCACAATCACATATACATTCTATAGTTAAACTGAGATGTTAAATCAGGCACTGTCACTTTTCTGTTTGTTACATAAGGGGGATGTCTTTGTTTAGTACAAGACATTTTTTTCATGGTCCAAACATATGCTTGATAATTATATTCAAAGAGAAACAATCTTATGCATTGACAAATCTTTGTCCAAACACTTGATCAAAGGGTGTCTTTATGTCAGATAGAGAAATAGCTCTTTGACTTCAACATAAAGCCACTGGCACTGTCCATAAGCCTATTTATCATTCATTTCATATGGACTGCGAGCAATTAGGGCTACGCTCCACCGCATGTGCGGAAATGACATATCCCATAGAAAGCCAAGAATCTGCAACACTTCCAAATGTGTTGCAAAGGCATGGCTTGGCACTCGCCCTGGACAGTATCATTATCACTGTATTGCAAAAGAGAAATAATAATTGTTGAAATATCAGACACAGGAGAAGGGCTCCTCCTCTGAGGAGATAGGTTTGGAATCACTGCATGAAGCATAGGTGTGATCTGGATTCTGTGGACACAATATGGCAGTTTTATGTCATTAGTGTTTTTATTTATGTTTTCATCATCAGGACTGGTGGCCAAGTTAATAATAATCACCTTCAAGTAAAACAGACTAAATCATTTATGTTTAAAAAAGGCTCCTCCACAAACCACAAGCTTTAATCTTCTGCTTGTTCATGTCCACCATTGGGCTATACCACTTCAGTTTGGTATAAGATAAGATAAGATAAGATAAACCTTTATTAGTCTCACAGTGGAGAAATTTCAGTGTCATCGTTGCACATTACAGCAGAGAAAGGAAATAAGAGCACTCAAATTGCACACATCAAAGTCTATTATTTAAGATAATAGACAATAAATTTAAGATAAAATAAAATAAAATAAAATAAGAAACTCTGGGCTATAATTGCACTTGGTTTGGAGTATTTACAGATGTCTATATTATACATTAGCAGCGGAGAATATGAGGATATGAATATGAGCAGAATAAACATCAGAAATAATATCAACAGGTAAAGTGACTTGAATGGGAGAATTATCAGATGGATATGAATAATACAGTAAGATATCAACAGGTAAAGTGACGGTGAAAGGCAGAATTATCAGATATGAAATAATACAGTAGTACTGATAACAGTAAATATCAGATACGTAGTACTGTAGTAGTACTGATAACAGGTAAAGTGACTAGTGACAAAGTTACTAGTGAATTATCAGAAACACTTGTGCAGACTCAGCAGTTCCTGTTACACATTCTCGTTGTACAGTCTGACAGCAGCAGGAAGGAAAGACCTGCGAAACCTCTCCTTCACACATCGAGGGTGAATTAGTCTGTCACTGAAGCTGCTCTCCAGAGCAGAGAGAGTGTCCTGCAGGGGGTGACAGTCATGGTCCAGCATAGATGTTAGTTTGCTCAGGACCCTCCTGTCCCCCACCTGCTGCACTGTGTCCAAGGAACAGCCCAGGACTGAGCTGGACTTCCTGATGACCTTGTCCAGCTTCTTCCTGTCCCTCTCTGTGATACTGCTGTTCCAGCAGACCACACCGTACAAGATGGCTGATGCCACCACAGTCATAGAAGGTCTTCAGGAGTGGCCCCTGCACTCCAAAAGACCTGAGCCTCCTCAGCAGGTAGAGGCGGCTCTGGCCCTTCTTGAAGAGGGCGTCTGTGTTATGAGTCCAGTCCAGTTTGTGGTTCAGATGAACACCCAGGTACTTGTAAGAGTCCACTTCCTCAATTCCCTTTCCCTGGATGTACACTGGGGCTGGAGCGGCAGAGTGACGTCTACGGAATACGACCAGTCTATCTCATGCATGGATCTATTATATTAACTGGATAGGGTATTACTAGCTTGTAGATGAAGAACCCATGTGCTCGGGGGATTCTCGCGGTACTGCAGACTAAATCACACTAAATTCACGTAGGCCACATACAGTACGTAGGCACATGTGCCACTGAGCACAAACCATTCATTTGAATACGGCACCATCTTGGATCTCATGTAGAATGTTCAGAATGATTGAACTCATGGAATCATGCAGGAGACAAATGTATAATGTGTATGCAGCTGATTTTGAACGTCTGTAGCTGGCAGACAACCAAAATATAATGTCAGTTAATTCAAATGTTTTGTGAACATTTTGAAATGGAAGAATAAAAGGATGCTAAAAAGAGATTGCGCTCTCGCTGTTTTAGTAGCTGTATATTAGAAAGTTCTGAAACTCCACTCCAGCTACAATGTTTAGCCACCACAAACGTTGCCCCACCATTCAACAGGAGCTTCTTCTAGTTCATTACAAAGATGTATCTTTTACATTCACAAGTGTTTGAGTGCACTGACCCAGATCTGTGGAGACGGTTTACATCTGGACTCCTCAGCCCTTCAGTTTCTGGAGAGCCTCTTTTCTATGTAATGTATCGGCCACAGTTTATTGATTTACTGACGTGGTCCCTATGGTGCTATTACAACCTTCTGTCTAGGCCTGTCAACATTGCAATAAACAATATAATTGAAACCAATTATATACCACTTGAACAATTACCATATAGCAGCAAAAATCCAGTCAAATAATTATTTGATTCTCTGTTTAGTAAAATAATAGAATTTACCTATTCAACCCCTACACCTAAAGTTTGATCAAATTACAATAAATGATATGCAGGTGATCATCATTGTCAAGTCAATTCAGATCCCTCCTATGGACTCACCACCTGCACGAGAATCAGTGAGGGACTGGTGCTCTTGGAATTGGGTGCAGCCCCGGCAATCCAAGATAGCGCCGTATTCAAATGAATGGTTTGTGCTTAGTGGCGCATGTGCCGGCACGGTCGCAGACATATTAGCAAAACTCGCCATATCACTCGCTATATTTGGGCATCGTCTGGTCCTCCCGGTTCTGCGCAGTGGATGATCTCCCATGATGCGTTGCGCGAGATACGCGTGTGTGGCTCTTATGCACGTGCACAGAGAGGCTTAGCCGCGCTCTGACCAATCAGAGCTGCTGATCAGAGCGGAAAACCGAAGGATTTAAGAAGAAAAAAAGTTCCGGATGACAAGGAAAACTAAAATTCCCACAAAGACCGACCTTTATGAAAGCTGTAGGTTGTCTGTCTCTGAGGTCGAGCTGTTTTAGTTTACATTGAGTTCT